AGCATTATCTTTTCTTATCTTTTATTAATTATCTTGTACTAGCTGTCATTAATTGTCATTAGCTGTATGTTTCCTTATTTAGCCTAAGGGCATCTTATGTAAGTTTCTGGTTATTAATATAAAAAGATGCAATAACCTGATCACAACCTAAGTTTGCTTTCTCTTAAACAAACAAGCGCCACATGGCGTGTCCCTTTATTTAATTAATTTATTTTTAGAGGACACTTCAGAGACACACTAGAGACATGCCAAGTTGTCTTTTCCTCTATTTTCATGAGTACTTTTGATGAATGTTGAATGTTTATTACTTTTTTATTAGATTTAAATACTTAATAGATCATTCATAAAAAAAGATATAGACCGTAAGTATTAATTTAAAAGTGCTTGTTTTTAAAACATATATATATATATATATAAACAAAGTAATTTTTGTTAATATTATTATTTATGGATGTAATATTAATGTAAATAGCAAATAAAAATATATTTTATTGCCACGTCTCCTTGGTGTCCATGTCCCCATTTTTTTGAAATTGCCGTGTCCCATGTCCGCATCCGTATCCGTTTTCATATCCGTATCCGTGCTTCTTAGTTCTTGACTTAGGCTTGGTTCAAACTTGAAATTGAGCTAAAATTCATGTTTTTATACTTCATAATCTTTTAATTGGTTGATTTTGATTGAAATGGTTTTTGAAGAAAGAATTAAAGAACTTAAGTTTTGAAACTTGTTTTCATTTAATCCAAGCTTTTGAATGGAAAAGCCCTAAAGTTTTGCAAGCTCAATGAGAAGTATGGAGCTTTCTTCATTTTCATTTAGAGTGCTTTATTACATGATTTTAGACCTTTAGAATGTTGGTTTTGAATTAGGACAACAAAAGAGATGCAAAAAATTCGAAAATAGACTGACTTGTCAAAGCTAGAGCAGTCTGCTTAAGCGGACATCACCCAAACTCAAGAAGTAGTATCCAGAATTTTTTCTTTTTTTCTTTTTTTATCCTCTTTTTTTTTTTTTTTTTGGTGCTCTTTTTAAATACTTTATGACCTGCACAACTCAATTCCAGCACTTAAAATCAAACCAAAAAAATAAGTTAGAAACTGAGATTTCTGAAACTAATGATTATCCAAAAAGACTTGTTTTAAAGGAAAAAGTCATTAACAAGTATATACACTTGATTTTACAAGTATAGAGCAAGAAGCATCAATTGCATTGTGTTTTCATGCTCATGTTGGTTTAACTACTTTGTGGAACTAACTTAGAGGAGAAAAGAGGTAAGCAGTGATATATTTTAGTTTATTTTCAGCAAAACATTTCTAGAACTTAAATATATGCTATATTCTTCGAATATGAAATGTTTTATCATTCAAGGATATCATATGTCTATTCTGTTTAATGTATAAAGATGCCATCTACGGTTTTGGTCCAAGTGGCTACTATGGACTTAACAGATACAAGGGTTAATTACACTTTACCCCCTCGTGATTTTGCCCAAAAACACATTATCTCCTTGAACTTTAAAAATGCACTCTTAACCTCCCTGTGGCCTGGGGTAAAATGTAAAGCTTAACTCTATTAATGAATTTTACAAAAAGTCTATACTGCCCTTATTTTTTTCCTTCAATTTTCTTCTTTATGCCACAATCACTACAACTTCTCTTCCTCTCTCACTAGAAATTGTACAGCATCACAAACACTTTCCAAACTCTTACGAAACCCAAATCCATTGCAAGTTACACAAATTACACTTCCCAAACCCAAACCCAAACCCATCTTATTTTCCTTATGAAAAAATCCATATAGACACTAATGGCATTTTCTAGAACTTCTGCAAAAGGTACATTTTTTGATTTGATGGTTTTGGGTTTCAATATACAGCTTAAATCCAATAAACCAAGAAACATTTTGAATTTCTAACTATACAAATATGAACAACAGCAGCATTCAAACTTGTTCCTGTGGGCTTAGTTTACATTCTCGAAGAAGAAGAAGAAGAAAAAAAACTTTGTTTCTCTACGTTTTTATCTGCATATCATTGTTGAAGAGAAAGTTGTCAAGTGTGCATGGAAAAAGACTTAGACCCCCAGTGTTTTTGATTGGTGTAAAAATATTTATTTATTTATTATTTTTTTTTTTTTTTAGGCTTGCTCTCACAGCCCTCCACACGGAGGTGGGGGTGCTGGGGGTCCCCAGCAGTGTTGAGTGTGCATATACATGTGCAATTGACAGGTATTGGCTCCTTTGGGGTTCATGATTAAGAAAGTTGGGGGTTGTGTGTGTGTAAGTGCCTATGTATAATGCGTGTAATAATAAGGAGAAAGGGTGGTCTTCGCAAATGCAGGCTTGGGTTGTTGGAGGAAATGAAAGAGAAAGACATGAGATAAGAGGGGAGATGGAGGGTGAACTGTGCAGCAGTGAAGCCGTGAAGGGAAGGATGTGGAAGGAAGGAGAAGAAGAAAATGAAGAAAAGAAGGGAAAAGGGGCAAAAGTGTCATTTATTCAATCATATATGGTCACATGCACATAATTTAGTGCGTGTTACCCACGCACAATTAAGTTTGACACAATCCATTACTTTTGCGCTTCACCCCAGACCACAGGGAGGTTATATGTATATTTCAAGACCAAAGGGAGGTAATGTGTTTTGCAGCTAAACCACAAGGGAGTAAAATCTATTCAACCCAATATACTAATGCTGGATAAGAGGGGAGATGGAGGGTGAACTGTGCAGCAGTGAAGCCGTGAAGGGAAGGATGTGGAAGGAAGGGGAAGAAGAAAATGAAGAAAAGAAGGGAAAAGGGGCAAAAGTGTCATTTATTCAATCATATATGGTCACATGCACATAATTTAGTGCGTGTTACCCACGCACAATTAAGTTTGACACAATCCATTACTTTTGCACTTCACCCCAGACCACAGGGAGGTTATATGTATATTTCAAGACCAAAGGGAGGTAATGTGTTTTGCCAGCTAAACCACAAGGGAGTAAAATCTATTCAACCCAATATACTAATGTTGTGTTTGGTTGGGGGATTTGGGGAGAAATTTGGAAAGCGAAATGGAAAAGGTAGGCGAAATGTGAATAAATCATGCCTATATTTCACATAATTTTACACACCTTTTCCCTTTCCCTTTCCAAATCCCTCCACAAATCCCCTAACCAAACACAGCATAATAGTTTTGTTATGATGAGCTCTACCACTAGATTGTAGTTTTGACATAATCAAAGTCAGCCCGGTTATGTTTTGTTATGTTATGATTCACACCTTTTAGATGGGCATTATCACTATGTTTGGGAATAAAATTGCATAAGATATGTTTCAAATGAAAATTAAGCTTCTAAACTTTTGGTTTACTTATGATTATTTGAAATGGAGATATCCTAGTCTTTGAGCTTTGGCTCAACCCTCTTCCATTTATATGTAGGTGATGATGATAAAGCATGATTGTTGTGTTTAAAGTTATGTGCATATGTGAACAGACATGGAGGCTTGTATGCCTAGCTATTGAATGGAAGGCTAGATGTTTCAGAGCTTTGTACACATTCTGCTTTGGGAAGAACAAGTTGTTCTTCTCTTTGTAAAATCTTATAGTTTTGAGCCTAGGTAGGTATAATGAAAGTTCATGAATGTTTCATTTCATTTACTTATGCACTTGCTGTAAATAGATGTTTGTGGGATAATAATCTTAAGAAAATTGATGGATTCCACAACCTAATCAAATTATACCCAAAATACTACATGACTACATGTTTGTTTAGTAAGGCCTTCAATAGTCAATGGCCAATGGGAGGTCACTGCTTTGTCTTAGTTTGGATTGGGATAGGGTTGTGACACAAAATAAAAGCAACAACAATGAAAAGAGATGAGTTTGCATCTCTTCATGGATGTGTTTGTTTGAGAAAGAGAAATGCTTTGTTTTGGGTTGCAAACTACGAGACAAAGATGATTTTTTGTCTCTTCTAGTGAGCATAAATAGTTGCAATATTTTACAAAAGGACATGCATTAGAGAAATTTCGACATCATGTTCGGCTGTAATTTTCACCTACACTGATTTTTTCTAAACCTGCCAAAAAACGTTAATATCCAAGTGATTTACCATTTTGAATGCATATTCCGAAGCATGGTATACCTTCATTTTAAAACAGTGAATTTAGCAATTTAAAGCAATCCCAAAATATTTTCTTATTTATTTCCTTTACATTTTTTGTAGAAGAAAAAAAAATCAAACATAATAAATTAAAATCTAGAGAGGATAGTGTTTTGGAAATACAAAATGTAAAATAACGGGGTCATAATGTCCCAGACATATGTTGTTACATGATTAATTTGAAAGTTAATAAAAAAAAAATTATTAGATGTTTAATGTTTGAAAGAAATTTGCTCTCGTGTTTAGAAAATTAGAACTGTCCGTGTTTCTTAGTATAAAAGTACAGAGCGTTTTAATAATGCGACCCATACAAGCCATCCCTATCGTACCACAATTTAGGGCATGGGACGTACCAAGTTCCATTCTCATTCCCATCCTTATATGCAACGGGACGAAGCACATAAAATTATCGTGTAAGGGCACCAAATGCCAAGATAGTAAATTAATACTGAAATATGGTCCCTTTGTATAAACCCACATCGATACATTCATGGACTTTAACGAGTTCCACTTCAACTCAATAAATCTGCTGAATTTTTTCCCCAAAAAAGGTAAATCATAGAATAATTGACCTATTAAATATCATCATTTTTAAATTCCTTACACCGATTGCAAGCTAATATTGCTAAAATCAATGACACAATCCAGGTTAATCAAAATTTAAACTGCACCAGTCTTACACAAATATTTAACGATCGATTGTGAGAAAACAGAGGAAATGTAACGAAGAAAGTAAGATCCCAAAAAAACACATATCAAATGATTTCCGCATTTTCCGAACAACCAAACAATGCATACTCAAAAGATTTACGCATAGTCATACCACAAAAATGCAAGGAAATAGATTTGATTCACCTTATTGAGGAGGAAATTAGGGAAGAGATGGTTGGTGGTGAGGTAGTGACTGCAACAAGGACAATCGCTCTTGTTCCGAAGGTGAGTCACAATGCACATGTAACAAAAGCTGTGTCCACAAGCTGTCAAAAACGCGTCCTTGATGATCTGCATGCATATCGGACACAAGAAGTCCTTGTCCAGCTCCGCCGCCGCCGCCGTCGTCTCCGGCGGAGGGAGTGGAGCGGCGACGGCGTCGGAGGACATCGGTTCCGACTTGACGGAGGGCACCAGCACCCCCATTGAGCTGTCTCCCATCTCTCTCGTTTCTCTCTCTATAAACCACACTTTCTCTCTCTATAAAAAATATCTGTGTGCGTTGTGTGGTGGTTGAGATTTGTGTTGATGGGAGTTTTTCCGTACGAGTGAAGTCAAGGAAGAAGAAAGAGAGACGCCTGTGTGTTTAGGCAGAGAGAGAGAGAGAGGTGGCTGCTGAGGAGAGAGAAGACAAATTCGTGAGGGTGGAAACGGGCCACGTTAGGCGGGGGTTTCCGTTTGATTCGGTTTTTCTTTTTCTTTTTTTCTTTTTTTTTTTTTTTTTGATAAATTACAATCTCTAAAAAAAAATTTCTAGATAAATCTACTTCATCCAGTAGCAGTCTATTACTTTGATTTACTATTTTTATTTTTTTCCTTTCTTTTACTTTATTTTTTTTAATATAATTTTTTCTATTTTTTTTTGAAAAATTATTGTCTTTTATATAAATTAGAAATTTATAAAATAAGACTATAAACTATAAAAGTAAAAATATAATTTCTAAAACATTAAAAATATAATATAATTGGACCAAATTTCAGGAAGCGCTAATATAATTGGCCTTTTTCTCGTTCAAAAGAAAGGAGAGTGTTAATTTCATTGATGTAATCATTGTGAGAATTTAACGTATGTGCAACTCAGTTAAGTGGGGTTTACAAGTTCAAAATTATATATATTTTTTTTAGAAGTAAGAAAATTAATTTATTTGGTAATTATTAAAAAAATATTTGTATTCAAAAAATTTAGCGGGAATAATATGTTAGTAAAAATGGAATATTTTATAAGGAAAATAACAAATTAGTGTATAGTTGAAAAAAAAAATCAAATTAATTATAATGTTGGGAATAATATGTTAGTGGAAAATGGGATATTTTATAAGAAAAATAACAAATCAAGTGTAAAGTTGAAAAAAAAAGTTTCAAATTAATTGTAAAGTTGATAATAATATGTTAGTGGAAAATGGGATATTTTATAGGTAAAATAGCAAATCAGCACAGGGTTGAAAAAAAAATTAAAATTAATTATAAAATTTATAAATTTTAATTATTAAAATCATAAATTTTTTCATGTACATGTATATGCTGTGATTTTTTAAAAGAACGCTTAATTTGTAATTTTTTCTATTTTATAAAACTATGCTAATCTTGTTACATTTAAAAAAAAATTATAAGAAAATCAAATTATGAGATTTTAATATTTTTAAATTAATAGCAATTTAATTATTCATCTATTTTCCTTTAAAGACACAAATGGAGATATTTTTGAAAAATTATTAGATGTTCCTCCAGCCCCATTTATTTATACTCTTCACTAATCAACATACACTATATCTCCTCATGTTTCTCAATTACCCAACAATAATCATGAATTTTTCCTTCTCCACCAACACTCCTAAAATACCACGTGACCGTACTCCAAGAACACTCAATAATTACTTGATATTTTTTTTCAAACACATACAATAACTGATTGATACTATTAATTTCATGAGAACCTCAACTTTACCCTAACCACATTAATCACAACCATTTCTATCTACCATCATAACCATCCATCTCAACCTAATAATTTACACTTAATTATTCTTTTCCCCTCCCATTACTCCCCTTCATTTTCCATCTATTGCCCTTGTTCCACAACCACCTACTAGCCTCATTGTCACCTCTCTCTCATTCCCTCATAGTGCCATTTCCTTTCATCCTCTTTCTACGTCATTCCCCTTCTCTTTCATAGATCAAAAATGATGGAAATCAACAACGACAGTGACGAAAATCTGTAGATCGACAATGGCAGTTAATAATGTAAATTCAATAACCTAGGCTCTGCCTCTTTATCTCACTTTCCATCTCATCGCATATCACACTACAAGGGTTTCGAAGAGGTTTACATCTTGGGGGCTGCATGAAGGACCATTTGTAAAAGAGAACCTAGAAAATAAAATTGATAATTAATGAGTTTAAAGTTTTGTTTGTCTCCTAATAAAAAATTTTGCAACTAAAAGTTGTAGGTTTTTATTCTTTGATAATAAACCTTTCGGCAGTGATTGAGAGCTCTAGTAAAGCTGCTCTAATAGCAGCTCTACTGAGTTGGCAACCCCTAAAAAAATAAATAAATAAATAAATAAAGAAAAAAAAAAGACAATTTAATACCAGTTTAGAGCTACATTTTTAGAGCTCCAAAGCAATTTCCTAAACCTTTTGCTTATTCCTCCAAATCATGAGAATTCATATGGCATAATAGAAGTTTGGAAGGTATGGTAGGAGAGGAACTGATGCGCTATTTGGTTTATTAGAATGAGAGACAATAGATGGGTATTTGTAATTTGTATAATAAATATGGTCATTAATGATATTATAATACTAGTTGGTATACTAATGTGTACATTAATTGGTGCATGTAGTACCACCGATTTGTAAATAAATATCGGTGGTGTTACATGCACCAATTAATATAGTACCAACTAGTGTTATGTCAGCATTATAGACTATACCTATTATACAAATTACAAATATCTAAAATTTTTAAAATTATGTCACATCATCTGTTAGAATATTAATTAGTACATTAATTAGTACATATAGCCTTATTCTTTACAAATTTACAAAATTGTTAGAGATTCGTAATAAATTTAGGATGGTTATTATCTATTACGGATTTGTAGAAGGATTCATATTTTTAAGCAATTACAAAAAGAATTAGAACAAATTGGACAAATTAGTTTAGAATTTGTTTAGAGTCACTGCGTTTGGTTTCAATTTTTTAGAAATTGAGTTTTTTGTTTTTGTATTTTTTATTTTTAGTGAATATTTTTAAAATTTTAAGCAATTTTTTTACTTTTTTATATCCACTTTTCTTAGATGTATCTAAAAAGTAAAATATTTATAAAAAAAATATTTTAAAAAATCAATAAATACACTAGAACACGAAAAATATATTGAATTCTCGTATTTTTTTATATATATTTTTGGTATTTAGTAAATTTTTTAGAAAAAAAAATCATAAATATTATACTTTTTAGTATATTTATGTTAGGTGTATCTAAAATTTTTAAAAATTGCTAAGGATTATTAAAAAAAAAATCAATGAAAACAAAAAATTTAAAAATTTTAAAAAATTAATTTTTTGAAAGGTAAATCTTAAAAATCCAAACCAAACAAACTGTGCATCACGTTGGAAGTGATGAGTAACAGTACTGCTTTTTGATTCAGCCGTGCTGGGGACCCCAGTTGGGGGTGACCCCCAGCACCCCCACTCCACGTGGGAGGCTGTGGACCAAGTAAAAATCAAAAAAAAAAAAATTCAACCAATCACGTGCTGCCACATCAGCTGGGGGTCACTGGGGGTCTTCAAAATTGGGGGTGCAAATCATTTTTCTTTTGGATTTTTTTCCTCAAGAGGCTACCATAGCCTGGATTTCTGTTTGCCAAATCACGCTAATATACAAGAATGTGAGAGATTAAAATAAGTAAAAACATCAAATCTAAAATATATAGGTAAAAATATAATTTAACCTTAAAAAAGCTAGGTCCATAAAATTAGAGTATACAAAGTGCAAAAAAAAAAAATTTTTGCACCATGGCTGAAATTTTTGTTTGGATATACCTCCTTAGTAGAGTTTGGAACCCAATTAATTTGTTAAAAGAATTCTAATTTGATTAGGTTTAGATATAATATATTTTAATATATTATTTCTAATTTTTTAGATTTAGTAACAACCAGGGTTTTAATAAAAACAAGCCTAAAATTTAATATATATATATATATATATATTGTTTATTCTGAAAAAACGTACCGTACGACTGCTACAAATTTGTTTCACCTTTTTTCAAAGTGTTGTGCGGCTGATTTGTTTGTGTACAGGTTGGGTAATCAATTTGGTGGATTTTGCTTTGTGGAGTAGCAATTTGTTTGATCATTGTTAGGTGGGTTAATTTGGTTTGTTATTTTTAGTCTTCTTCAACTTTGATTTTGAAGATTTTTATTCATCTATTTAGGGAGATCTTTCTTCTTATTTATTTGTGATTATTTGAAATTCACCTAAGAGTGGTTTTGTGAGACTATTCGTGTCTCATTTGTAATCGTTTGAAAACTTTTTGATTGATAGTGGAATCGGATTTCGATCCCGTTGACGTAACTTACATTGAGGGAATCATGTAAAAATTTAAGTGTTGTTTTTTATTTAATTTTTTCGCATTAGTTTTTATTCTCATTGATTGATGTACTTGTGGGGAATCTTATATTTTCCCTAACAACTGATATCAGAGCTTACGATCTATTTGAGTACATTTATTTGTGCAAATCAATGAAAGGAAATGTGAGTCGTATGTCTAGTTTCAATGGAATTAATTGGGTAACCTGAAAAACTAAAATGAAGGACCTATTATTTTGTAAAGATTTGTATGGACCTATTGAAGGTGATAGTAGCAAACCTAATGATATGAAAGATAATGAATGGAAGAAGCTTAATCGAAAAGCCATTGGTGTTATCCATCATTGGATTGATGACAGTGTGTTTCATCATGTTACTACTGAAACTTCAGCACATGATTTATGAAAAAAATTAGAATCTTTATGATAGAAAATCTGCCACAAATAAAGCCTTTCTGTTTCTTAAGTTGGTTAATTTAAAATATAAATATGGTAGCCCCATTCTAGAACACTTGAATGAAATAAAGAGTATTGTTAACCAATTTGTTTCTATGAAAATTATTTTTGATGATGAGTTGCAGGCTTTAATGTTACTTAGTTCTTTACCCGAAAGTTGAGAGACTTTGGTTGTGACAGTTAGTAATTCAGTACCTGATGGAGTTGTCACAATGGGCCAAGTCACTAGTAGCTTGCTGAATGAAGAAACTAGAAGAAAATCAACGGGTTCCTCTCATTCGGAAGCATTTGTTGTGAGAGGCCAAAACAAAACAAGGGGAAGGAGTAAGACTCCTCATCATCATGATCAAAGTCGTGACAAATCAGGAGATGGTTCTTTTTCAAAGAAAGATATTGAGTATTATTATTGCCATGAGAAATGGCACATGAAGCGGGAATGCCCAAAAGCTTAAGAACAATGAGAACAGGCGTGACAAAAGTGTGCATAAGAAGCAAGAAGACACAACGGCAGTTACTACCGATGATCTCATGGTCATTTGTGAAGATGATTGTATCAATTTTGTAGGTCAAGAGAACAATTTGGTGATTGATTCCGGTGCTTCTTTTCATGTGACTTCTCGAGTTGATTTCTTCACTACCTACACCAAAGGAGATTATGGTTCTGTTTAAATGGGTAATAAAGGTTTGTCCAAGATCACTGGCATGGGTGATGTTTGCTTGTAAACAAATTTGGGCTGTAAGTTGTTGCTTAAAGATGTGAGGCATGTTCCCGACATTCGCCTCAATTTGATCTCTACTGGGAAACTAGATGTTGAAGGTTTCAACAACAAATTTAGTGATGGAATATGGAAGCTCACAAAAGGGTTCTTTGGTGGTGGCTAAGTGCAAGAAGACTCATACACTTTATTCAATGCAAGGAAAAATTTATAAAGATATTGTCAATACACTTGAAGATGATACTTCTATCGAATTGTGGCACAAGCCGTTAAGCCATATGAGTGAAAATGGGCTACAAGTTTTGTTCAAAAAAGAGCTTCTACCCGGTTTGAAAAGTATACATCTTAAAACTTGTGTTTTATTGTTTGGTGAGTAACCAACATAGAGTTTCTTTTCATAAAAATGTTGCTTATTGAAAAGAAAATGTTTTGGGGTTGATTCATTCGGATGTTTGTAGTCCTTTGAAAGTTAGAACTCATAGTGGTGCATTTTATTTTGTTACTTTCATTGATGATTATTCAAGGAAAGTTTGGGCTTTTCTACTAAAAACTAAAGATCAAGTTTCTAGAAGTGTTTAAGCATTTTCAGGCCATGGTTGAAAGAGAAACATGGCAGAAATTGAAGTGCATCCGATCAGACAATGGTGGTGAATACATTAGGCCATTTGATGAGTATTGTCGCAGCCAAGGTATTCGACACCAAAAGACAGTTAAGAAGACTTCTCAACAAAATGGCGTTGCTGAGAGGATGAACCACACCATTGTAGAAAGAATAAGGTGTTTGCTTTCACAAGCTAAATTGTCAAGATCCTTTTGGGGTGAGGCAATGAAAACAGCGGTTGACGTGATCAATTTGTCTCCTTCATATCCTTTGAATGGTGATGTCCTAGAAATAGTTTGGATCGGCAAAAATGTATCATATGAGCACTTGAGAGTATTTGGTTGTCGAACTTTTGTTCACATTCCAAAGGATAAGAGGTCCAAGCTCGATAGTAAGTCAAGAAAATGTATTTTTCTTGGCTATGGGCGTAATGAATTCGAGTATAGATTATGGGATCTGGTCAACTAGAAAGCTATTCGAAACCGTGATGTTGTGTTTCTTGAAGACCAAACAATTGAAGACTTTGGCAAAGGTGATCAACCAGAGCCAAAAACTAGTGATCTCATTGACATAGATCCATCTCCTTCATCTTCTGTTGATGATAAAAAATGAGGGAGATATGCAGCCACCCATTGAAGATGTAGATGATGATGTTAATCCTAATGAAGCTAAGCCAGAAATTGAGGAAGAGCATCCAACTCAAGAACTGCCACTACAAATTGCGTTGAGAAAATCTACAAGAGACTGACAACCTTCAAGAAAGTATCCTCCCAATGAATTTATGTTGCTTTCCGATCAAGGAGAGCCTGAGAGCTACCAAGAAACAATTGAGCATGCAAAGAAAGATGATTGGAAAAAGGCCATGGACGAGGAGATGAATTCCCTACTTGAAAACCAGACTTATGATTTAGTGAAGTTGCCTAAAGGGAGGAAAATTCTGAAAAATAAGTGGGTCTTCAAATTGAAGAATGATAGCAAGAATCTGAGGTACAAAGCACGTCTTGTTGTGAAAGGCTTTGGGCAAAAGAAAGGTATTAACTTTGATGAGATTTTCTCACCAGTTGTGAAGATGTCTTCTATTCGGGTTGTACTTTGCATGGCCGCAAGTATGAACCTTGAAGTTGAACAACTTGATGTGAAAACCGCATTTCTTCATGGTGATCTTGAAGAAGAATTTTATATGGAGCAATCGGGTTCCTCTCATTCGGGGAAAAAGAAATTTGTTTGCAAATTGAAGAAAAGTTTGAATGGCCTTAAAAAAGCCTCGCAGCAATGGTACAAAAAATTTGACTCTTTTATGATGAATAATGGTTTTTCTAAAACCACTTCGAACCATCATGTGTTTGTGAAAAAAAATTCAGATGGCAAATTTATTATTCTTTTGCTTTATGTTGATGACATATTAATTGTGGGTTAAGATTACATTATGATTAACAGGTTGAAATTAGAGTTGAGCAAGTCTTTTGCTATGAAAGATTTGGGGTTGGCAAAGCAAATACTTGGTATGAAAATTGTTCGTGATCGCAAAGAGGGGCTGATTTGGTTGTCTCAAGAAAGCTACATTGAGAAAGTTCTTGAGAGGTTCAACACGAATAAAGCAAAGCCGGTTGGTTGTCCACTTGCGGGTTACTTCAAGCTTTAGTTCGAATCAATGTCCTACAAGTGAGAAAGATAAGGAGGAGACGTTGAAAATTCCTTATGCTTCAGCAGTTGGTTCTTTGATGCACGCCATGGTTTATACAAGGCTGGATATTGCTCACGCCGTTGGTGTGGTGAGTCGGTTTCTCTCTAATCCAGGTAAAGAACATTGGGCAGCGGTTAAATGGATTCTAAGATATCTTCGAGGGACTTCGAAGGTGTGTTTGTGTTTTGGGGATGGTAAGCCGATGCTTGATGGGTTCACAGATTCTGACATGGCTGGTGATGTTGATTATAAGAAATCTACTTCGGGGTATTTGACGACATTTGCAAGGGGAGCTATGACATGACAATCTAAATTACAAAAATGTATTGCTCTCTCAATTATCGAAACTGAATTTATTGTCATTACGAAACCTTGCAAAGAAGAGTTATGGTTGAAGAATTTTTTGCAAGAGTTGAGTTTGAAACAAGAAAAGTATGTACTTTATTGTGATAGTCAAAGTGCTATTCACTTGAATAAAAATTCTACTTTTCATTCGAGATCGAAACACATTGATGATACCATTGGATTTGTGATGTGTTAGATTCGAAACTGTTGCAACTCGAAAAGGTTTACACAAATGATAATATTTCGGATATGTTGACTAAGACTTTGTCAATGGACAAATATTTAAAGTGTCGAATTTTGACGGGTATGGTTGATGTCTCCACCTAAGTCGGTAGGGGGAGAATTATTAGGTATACCTCCTTAGTGGAGTTTGGAACCCAATTGATTTGTTAAAAGAATTCGTGTTTGGTTTGGTTTAGATATAATATATTTTAATATATTATATCTAATTTTTTTAGAGACCTAATTCAGTTTAGTAACAATTAGGATTTTCATAAAACAAGCCCAAAATTTAATATATATGTATATTGTTTATTATTCACAAGAAAAGACGTACCATACGACTGCTACAAATTTGTTCCACCTTTTTTCGAAGTGTTGTGCGGCTGGTTTGTGTGTGTACAGGCTGGGTAATCAATTTGGTGGATTTTGCTTTGTGGTGTAGCAATTTGTTTGATCATTATTAGGTGGATTGATTTGGTTCGTTATTTTGGGTCTTTTTTAACTCTGGTTTTGAAGATTTTTGTTCATCTATTTAGTGAGGTCTTTTCTCTTGTTTGTTTGTGATTATTTGGAATTCATCTAAATGTGATTTTGTGAGACCATTCGTATCTCGTTTGTAATCGTTTGGAAACTTTTTGGTTGATAGTGGAATCGGATTTCGATCCTGTAATCGTTTGGAAACTTTTTGGTTGATAGTGGAATCAGATTTCGATCCCATAGACGTACCTTACATTGAGAAAACCACGTAAAAATTCTTGTGTTGCTTTTAATTTAATGTTTCCGCATTAATTTTTATTCTCATTAATTGATTTACTTGTAGAGAATCTTATATTTTCCCTAACAATTTTCGCAATATATTTAAGTTACGAATTGCAGTTTCTATGCACCAAACATTTATGATTCACTTTTGATTATGAAAAATGGTGACCAAACATATTTTTAATATAAAAATCATAGAGAATAATGTATAATTATGATTCATAATAAAGGATTTTTTTATTATTAAATAAATAATTTGTATTATTAATAAAACATATAATAATTCATATTATTATTGTATATAAATTCTGTTTGTTTTGTATTATTCATAACTCTAGTGCATGCAGGGCAAAGAACCATAGCCATGGCAGTACTCTCAACAACACAAACACTGCAAAGCAGAAATAGAAAGTGTAGCATTCCTTGGTAACCAAGTCAAGAAATATATTTTAACCATAAATAAATAAATAAATAAAATTAATAATCAAATCTAATCCAATCTCCACAGACACAGCTTTTCTATCCTTCTCAATTTACACAGTGTTTCCATATTTCACACACTCTCTCTCTCTCTCTCTCTCTCCAATTCATATTTTGGTTTGTTTGCAGAGTTTTCCTTCTATAACTGCCCACCACTCTCCTTTGCCAATCAAAACAAGAAGAAAAAAAAACTGAACAAATCATATATACTTCAACCACATACTCCTTGCATTCCTATCACAACTCTCTCTCTCTCTGGTATAACCCCATTCTTCATCTTCTTGTTCCTTCTCTGTTTCTGCCATTGTTGTTCTCCTTCTCTCTTTACATATAGATATGGGCTTTCTTTTTCTTTTGATAGAAGGATATGGGTTTTCTTTGACAGTTTTTTTTTTCCCCCTGATTCTTTCATCGATGAAATAAACTTTTTTTTTTATAAAAAATAACATAAAAATTATTTGGGTTTTCTTTGATTGTATCTAACATTGTATTTTCATTTGATTTCAGAGCATTGCCGCATAATCTGGGCCATTTCAGGCGTTTACGGAGGTGGCATATTGAAAAAGAGCTTATTATTTGAAAATAGAGATAACCTTTGTGATTCCCCAACTTTTGAAATCCTCTTCAGAGAGAGATTCAAGGCCCAATGGTTGGTTGGTTGTTTGGTTGATTGGCTCACTCATTGGCTGGCTTTTGTTTCCGTTACCAAAAATTTAGGGGAAAAAATATCTCCTAAAATTTGTGTCCCCATTGCTCTGTTTTTGTAACGGCTCTGTAAAATCCTTGATTGCCACTCCCGATCTTCTAGGTTTTGAGACGTTTCAAAACTCTCTCAAAATTCAAATATATTTTCATTCTCCTTGCTATTTCCAAAGTTTTCAAGGTCTTTCTTTGAATCACTGCTTCACACTCAATCCAATTCTTGCAAGACACACACAATGCAGACCCAAAACCAAAACCAAAACCAAAACCCAACTCGAAATCGTAATCCTAACCGAAACCCACCTGAGGATTTTACTCTGAAGGAGACATCACCGAACCTCGGTGGCAGCGGTGGCGGGAGGGTCTCCGGCATTGACAGAGTCTCCACCACTTTCGACCTTGTTGAGCAAATGGACTACCTCTATGTCAGAGTAGTCAAGGCCAAAGAATTGCCTCCAAAAAATGCTAATGCTAATACTAATGCTAATGCTAATGCTAATGCCAACGGTTCTTCTTGTGATCCTTTTGTTGAAGTGAAGCTTGGAAACTACAAGGGTGCGACAAAGCATTTCGAAAACAAACCCAACCCAGAATGGAACCAAGTGTTTGCATTCTTGAAAGATCGAATTCACTCCACTTGCGTTGATATCATTGTGAAGGATAAAGATATGGGTAATAGGGATGATTACATTGGCAAGATTGTGTTCGAAATCTATGATGTCCCGAAGAGGGTTCCACCAGATAGCCCTTTGGCGCCGCAATGGTACAAATTGGAGAACAAAAATGGGCAAAAGATTAGAGGAGAGTTGATGGTGGCTGTGTGGATGGGTACTCAAGCGGATGAGGCCTTCCCGGATGCTTGGCATTTGGATGCTGCTGGGGTTAGTGGCGATGGCGTGGCCAATATTCGATCAAAGGTATATCTATCTCCCAAGCTTTGGTATCTTAGAGTGAATGTGATTGAGGCTCAAGATTTGCAGCCCAGTGACAAGAATAGGCTATTGGAAGTGTTTGTTAAGGTTGTTTTTGGGAATGTTGTTATGAGAAGTAAAATTTCACAAAACAAGAATGTGAATCCGATGTGGAATGAGGACTTGATGTTTGTTGCTGCCGAGCCCTTTGAGGAAGAGTTGGTTATGAGTGTGGAGGATAGAGTGGCACCCAATAAGGATGAAGTTTTGGGGAAATGTCGGGTTCTTTTACAGAATGTGGAGAAGAGGACTGAATGCGAATGTGTGAATAGTAAATGGTACAATATTGAGAAGCAGGAGGGGAAGGTTGTGGGTCGGATTCATACCAGGATCAGCTTGGATGGTGGGTACCATGTCCTCGATGAATTGACTCAATATAGCAGCGATCTGAGGGCTACAACGAAGCAATTGTGTAAGCCGGGTATTGGGGTGTTCGAATTGGGGATTTTGAGTGCTCAAGGTTTGTCAGCAATGAAGAAAAAGGATGGTCGAGGAACTGCAGATGCCTATTGCGTGGCTAAATATGGGCAGAAATGGATTCGCACAAGGACAATCATAGACAGTTCCAATCCAAAATGGAACGAGCAATACACATGGGAAGTTTTTGATCATTGCACTGCCATTACAATTGTTGTATTTGATAATTGTCATTTGCAAGATAAGGATGGAGCGAAGGATGCAATAATTGGGAAAGTGAGGATTCGGTTATCAATGCTTGAAAGTGATCGCGTTTACACACATTCGTATCCGCTCATAGTCTTACATTCCGATGGGGTGAAGAAGATGGGAGAGATTCAATTGGCTGTGAGGTTTACTTACTCATCTTTGTACAATATGCTCCAATTGTATGCACAGCCCCTTTTGCCAAAAATGCATTATCTTCGCCCACTGTCGGTTTTTCAGCAAGATAGCTTAAGACACCAGGCAACTCAAATCATCACAATGAGGATGAGCCGGGCTGAGCCTCCATTGAGAAAAGAGGTTGTTGAGTACATGCTCGACGTAGGCTCACACATGTGGAGTATGCGAAAAAGCAAAGCCAATATTTGTAGGATTATCGACGTTTTGTCTGGCCTTGCTACAGTTAATAGATGGTTTGATGAGATACGCTTGTGGAAAAACCCTTTCATGACGGTGTTCATCCACATATGGTGCTTGATAATAATCATCTACCCAAAAATGATTTTCACTACAATTTTACTATCTCTTTTTTTGGTGGGGCTTTTGAACTATAGGAAGAGGCCGAGACACCCTCCTCACATGGACGCGAGGCTCTCTCACGCTGATACAGCGACTGTTGATGAATTAGATGAAGAGTTTGATTCATTTCCGTCTTCTAGGCAAGCTGATGTTTTGAAGACGAGGTACGACAGGTTGAGATGTATTGCAGCAAGGATGCAGACAGTGGTTGGGGATTTGGCAACTCAAGGGGAGAGGTTTCATTCTTTGCTGAGCTGGCGTGATCCGAGAGCCACAGCTCTGTTTATGATATCCTGTTTGGTTGCAGCTGTGGTGCTTTGGTTCACTCCCATCCAAGGGCTATGTGTTCTTTTGGTATTATATGTTTTGAGGCATCCAAGGTTTCGTGATAAGCTCCATTCGTCGCCTTTTAACTTCTTCAGAAGATTGCCTACAAAAGCAGATAGCTTGTTGTGAGGTTCTCATGTTTTGGTAAAGTAAATGGCCCGGTATGGATCATTTTTGTTTTATTGCAGTTTGACATTTGTGTTTTGCACTAATCTTATATGTTATGATGAACCTGTTCTTCTAGTCTCTTTCCTTTTCTTTTTCTCTCTTTTTTGTCGTGTCAGTTTTTTTTTTTTTTTTTGCCATGATCCTAATGCTAAAATGCTCTTCACATTACTGAAATCCATGGCAATAGTGGCTCTTTTGAGGTGAAGTTTTAGACTTTTGACTACAAACTTAAGGCTTCTACTAATGCTCTATCTGTTTCAGTGGAAAAAAATTTCGTAGAAAATATTTTTCTATGTATAATTGTGACATTAAAACTAATGTGATAATGGTAAAAAGCCAGTTATGATCAAGATATTAATGATCTTTTCCTTAAAAAGTTCTTGCCTTTGCAACCTTTTTTGATAACCAAATGAATGGATGTCCAGGAATGTTGGACTTCATACTATTGCAAGTAATGTTAACGACCACAATTCAGTATGCAATAGTAAGTACATACAATCATAGAGTAAAATGATAAAAAATAACTCCTATAATCTATCTAATTTGATTAAAAGATAAAACTTAGTTTAATTTGAAAAATAAGAGCTCAAATCATTTAAATTTGATACGTAACACGTTATAATTCTTATGAATTTTGTGTTCCATTATGTTCCATATTCCTTCAATCCTTGACATTGACATGACAATAGAAGGGGGAAACATTTTATGCATATGAAATAAATGTTATTCCAATTTGTTCTTTCAATTGTTTTCAAATATTAAAGAATATTCATATCACAATGGGAAAGAAAAATTTCAATTGTTTTCAACTTCATGCTCCATTGCATACCATCATTTCTTTAATCATTGATAATGGTATATGATAACTGATAGAGATATTGTGTGTAGAGAGAATATTGTATTTACAATGAATAAATGTCATGCCATTTCATTCATCTTCAATCATTAAAAGAAAATATATTTCCAATTCTATTATATGAATTAATGTGATTTTATTGTATGAATTAGGTCTCATAAAATATTTTTAAACTCATTAAATTTTATACGTGAATTATTGTTGCACAAAACATTAATTAGAGATTAGGAAGTTACTTTTTCATTTATTTCAAAACTTTAAAATTAATTTTTATTCAACATATCCGTTTTTCATGAACTTTATATTATTTATTCTCTTCTACAAAATTTATTAAAAAAAACCATATTCAATAATAAATTTTGTATTAAAAAATTTCATACAAAATTTGTAATTTTTTTTTTAATTTTTTTCATAGCTTGATATATAACATAGATCTAATTTGACAAATACTGACAAATAAATTTAAATATATATATATATATATGAAATGTTATAATATTTTAAAAGTTAGAATTATAAAATAATTAATTTAACAACTCAACAATATCACTAACATGAGCGGTGTTTGTCAGATTTTTATTCGAATTTCACAAATTTAAAAATCAAATTAAGATCTTATAATATACGGTGTAATTTATCTGAGTTATTTATAGAAATTTATATTAGACTATTTGGTACGATTTTACTTATAGTTTATTAAGTAAGAATAATTTAAATAAATTTAAAAAATTTAAAAATTGGCTAAAACTTCTGCGGGATGTTTGGTGAAAATTATTTTAAAACTAAGGTAAATTATATTGACACTTTTTTGACGTTTTGAAAATTACATTTTTATCCATGTAGTTAATATTTTTATTTCACAAACCCCTACTTATATAAAAGGCAACAACTCTGACAAAAAAAAAACAGAGAAATTACATTTAAAAAAAACAAGAGAAGTAAAGCAAAGTAAGAAAAGAGAGAGTGTATGAGTTCAACGCCTTCATTCTATTTAAATTACAATGACAGAGGGATTAGTGTAATTTCCTAAACGTCGGAGGTGATATATATTAAATCCAAACATCAGGAGTATAAGTGTAATTTACCCTTTAAACTAAAAATTGATAATCAAAAAGTAGAAACTAAAAGTACATCTGCCTTAACTTTTGAAAAATAAAGTTTTTCAGCTTATTTAAATTATTTCTACCTAATAAACTATAAGTAAAAACTATATCAATTTGATAGAAACACTCAAATTAAAATAAATTATAAATTACTTGTATAATCCCTACCAAACACCCCTGAGTCCGGATCCTCGATGTCACGACCCGCTCCCCGTATCTAAGGATTAAGTATCGTGATGGCTAGTAGCTAAAGTTACCTCAGGCCAATTCTTGAACAAATTAATAAACGCGAGCGGAAATAATATTTAAATGAGAGTACCAAAATAATCGTCGGGAGTTTCTGTTTTTATTATAAAATTTATTGACCAAAAAAACTGATATTTATATAGAAAAATATCATAAAAGTGTTATGTGTGTCCATTCCGCAGCCCCGCGCCTAAGATTTTCCAAAAGCTATTTCTGAATTGTATTGTTTCCTGAAAATTGGTAAACAGCTATAAGCACATGGCAGAGTGAGAAATATTATACTAAGAGCATAAGGGCATAAAATTCACCATGGATAATTATTGGCTAAACAGACCTTGATATTAAAATACAGAATATATAATAAGGAAATCATTTAACATATAATAGAAAATAATCATAACCACGGTACTGAACGGAGCGGAACAAATGTATAGACTCAAGAGGTGGCTCCCACAATAGTGTAGCATTTAGTTTCGTACAGTGCTTTACTCCACACTAGAAATTCAGAGGGTCAGTGGATCTATGATAGACAAAGGGTCACAAAGTGACTAATCAGAGGACCAATAGTTAAGTCTCCCAAGACATGTGACCTCTGTGGTGATACTTGTAAAATAATTACTCAAAACACATTTTAATAAACAGTTATATCCATGGGTTTTCCTTATTATATTAAATAATGTTCATAAAATAAATAACATAATTAAAACACAATTATATAAAATAAATTATCGTAACTCAAAATATATTATGGTGACTCAATGTATAATATAACTCACTTTAAAATTAATATCTCACTCTCTTGCTTTTCACTACCAAAGACCCTTTCGTCTTTTTGTATTTTATTCCCCTTTTCTTTGTTTCTTTTTTTTTTTTCCCCCTTAACTTGAACATCTCCTCCCTATTTATAGGGAGTTAATTCGTGAGCCTCAAGCCACCACTCATACACGTGGCTCATCCATATGCTTCTCCATCAATTCGTACTTATCTAACATATGTGACTCACCACACCTATGTTGCCTAATTATCATTCTAAGCTACATGTTGCCTTGGTTTGTTCTTTTTATTATTATTTTTTTTTTCTATAAAATGACCCTAATGTAAATAAATTACACTTTATTTTATTTTACTCTTACAAAATATTTAATTAAACATTTAAGATTTTTCTCATTTATAATTAAATAATAATAATATAAAATTTAAGGGGACAACTAAAATTTTCGGGTTGTTACACTCAACTATCCATTCTTGCGGCGACCCAAACGATGTCTCGTTTTGGGGCAAGGTTTCAATTTAAAAATGATGAATTACAAATACACTTCCTTAAATTTGCTTAAAATATAAATTGCCCTCTGTAGTTTGGAAAATTATAAATACCTCGTTGTTAGTATTTTTTATTTAACAGAATTCACTAAAAAAATGAAATTCATAATTATTTTCTTACACAATAATAAAATTACCAAAATTATTAATCGAAGCATTTTTCTAACATCATTTAAAACTATTAATTAATTTGATGATTTATTAATAAAAAGAGCAATTTGTTATGAAATTAAAAATCTCAGAAGATGGAATGTAATTTTTAAAATCACAAGAAACGGTTTGTATTTTAATCAAATCCCAGTATGTGTTTGTAATTTACCCATTAAAAAAAAGACAGAACAAGATCTGGACTCAACACGCCTACGTTTGGATTATCAACTTCTAATAATCACAGTTGCTTTTGCCCTAGCAAAAGAATTTTCTTTCGTCGCAATGGCACATAGTATATCCTCCACACTACAACACGCCGAACTCTGTAACTATGTTGCCCCGAAGAACTCCAAAAGCAGGCAAATGATCAACCAGAGACCAAAAACCAGAGCAACTCAAAAACAACACTCACATGTCAAAACACTAACCCTAGCTTCTGTAAGAGGGGCTAATTTGAGCCCACTAAATTATTTAGGCCCAATAGCCCAAGATTAGTGGGCCCGAATTTATCGCAAGTCCAAGAATCGGTGGGCCCAGATTTATCGCCATCAAACGGATTGAATCGCTCTAAGCCTCGAAAGGGTTCGGATCCACGAACCTAGAGACTTACTCAGGCCCGGAACTCGAAAGGGTATTAGGCAAGCCTAGAGATCCGAGGCACTCGGACTCGAAAGGGTTCGGATCCACGAACCTAGAGACTTACTCAGGCCCGGAACTCGAAAGGGTATTAGGCAAGCCTAGAGATCCGAGGCACTCGGACTCGAAAGGATTCGGACCCACGAATCTAGAGATCCGAAGTACTTGGCTTCGAACGGATTCAGACGCAATCTAGAAGTCGCTCCGTTAATGAGTCCCAGAACACTTGCGGGCTCGGAGCTTTCCGGGATCTACGCACCAGAACCATGGGCGTAATGGAGTTCGAACAAAGGACCCGATCCCGAGGACGGTGAGTGGAGATAAATTCACTCTTCGGTTAAACTAGCCTATACCTCCGAGGGACAGCCTTGTTTCTGCTCGGACTTCCGAGGGACAGCCTTGTTTCTGCTCGGACTTCCGAGGGACAGCCTTGTTTCTGCTCGGACTTCCGAGGGACAGCCTTGTTTCTGCTCGGACTTCCGAGGGACAGCCTTGTTTCTGCTCGGACTTCCGAGGGACAGCCTTGTTTCTGCTCGGACTTCCGAGGGACAGCCTTGTTTCTGCTCGGACTTCCGAGGGACAGCCTTGTTTCTGCTCGGACTTCCGAGGGACAGCCTTGTTTCTGCTCGGACTTCCGAGGGACAGCCTTGTTTCTGCTCGGACTTCCGAGGGACAGCCTTGTTTCTGCTCGGACTTCCGAGGGACAGCCTTGTTTCTGCTCGGACTTCCGAGGGACAGCCTTGTTTCTGCTCGGACTTCCGAG